ATATCAAAAAATGAACATCAAAAGGCCATCCGAAAAATAAGTAAAAATCTGGATCTGTCATCACCAACAAATCCAGACTCAGTTTGTTTCAAAACAAAATCATAAAATATAACGTAATTAACCAAGATCCAGGCCCAGAAAAGAGGATGAAACGTTTAAAACCAACACCAGAAATCACAAAAGGGATGGATTTGAAAAACCCTAAGAGAGGAGCATCAATCATCCGTGGCGGCCGTCCTCGATAAGAAAAATCACCAAATTTCATCACAAATCTGCAAGCGAGACACAACGAAGGTTCAGCAGATCATCATCAACACAAAAACAACGACAAACACCATCATCAACCATTCATCCGCCGCGGAAAAACCCCAAGATCAGCAACAAATCAAAACCGCAGTCGTCCTTAACATAAAACAAAAAACCATCTGAACCATCATCCACTCGACAAAATCAAAACCGCTTCAAACCCACAAAAGGGTGAGCAGTTTTTCTAACGTGATCTTGTTCTTTTTGCAAAAACCGTAAATGGAAGAAGAAGATTTAAATGAGAAAGAATAATATGGACATGGACGAGAGAGAGAGAGAGAGAGAGAGAGAGAGAGAGAGAGAGAGAGAGGCGAGCAAACTGAGAAGAGAGAAAGAAGGATAAAAAAATGCAGCAGATGACCCATGGGGGGAGTCCGCCGCGGCTGCCTCACTATAGGGTTAAAACCCTAAAATGTTCAGCCCCCTTTTTTTATTTCATGCCAGACGGGTCGGGTCTGGGGGTAATGACCCAGCCCGACCCATTTCCTCTTTTGTATTGTCTTATTTTGATTTTTTTAAGTTTTTTATTAGTTTTTTCTGTTTTAATTCCAAATTAAATCTTTTTTTTAAAAAAAATACAACTTATTAGGTCTATCCTCATTAATTATTAATTTTTCACCGTTTATCATTTACCGTTAATTCCCTCTGAAAGATAGGTCTAGCCGTTTGACTGCCGCGTCAATAGTCCTTAACCCTTGCCTCTTTCACTTTTCAAACCCTAAATGCTTAAGAGTTCCGCCTTGGACAATTTTACCCTTTACCCTAGCATTAGGATAAGGAGTCGCCGCATTCCATATTAGGCTTCCCGCCATGGAATACCTATCTTGCCCTTTCAATTCAACTTTACAACATAAAATTAGGAGTCGCCGCACTCCACGTTAGTGCTTCCCTATGAATGTTTACATCCCTTTGAAACCTTGACCACAGTCAAGAAGTTTCTCTTTCTCCCTTTCGAGGGGAACTATGATTACTCTGATTCCATCCCCTACCCAGGATATGTAGGCACAAGATGTGAGTCTTGGCATATAAACTTAGGACTAACCCTTAGGTCTCTCTTTCACCCTTTAACCCTTAGCATACCTTAAGCATATAACCATAACAATAGCACATTTAAAAAAGAGGTTCTTGTAGAGTACTATAGAAGTTTAGTATGTTAATACCTTCCCTAAGCTTAACCAACCCCCGAACCCTAGATCTTTCCCCGCATTGTGTTTACGATGCAAAATAGATTTTCCTTTCTTTAACCTTTCCTTCGGATAAATCAAAGACCAGTTGTGAACTAAAGATGTGATTCAAATTAATTAATAATTTGATATCCTATTCTCACCGTAACAGAGTTAAAAGAAAATTAAGGTTCGAGCCGATAGCGCAAGAGTGTGAGGATTGAGTCGGATAATGGAAACTAGGCATCGATCCTAAAAACAGTAAGAGCGCTTTAGGTATTGATTAGGATCTAATCAATTTCCAAAATACGCTTCTTAACTAAAATGGGCGAGCGAAAGCCTCATGGTTAGGGAGTGTGGCTTTAGTCAATAGCGCGAGAGTGTGAGGCAGAGTCTTTAAATTGATATTTTCTACGGAACATAATTTAATTACATTTACTACCTATAATATACAGAGTCCCTTAGGAACACATAATCCATATCGCGACCTCTCTTTATTAATATCTTTTCTAATCTTTAAAAGTTTACGTTTTATTTCTGTCCAAAACTTTTAATCACTAGCCTTAGCTTTACATAGCATCAATCGATAACGATAGATTAATTATTAGTACTTGTGGGTTCGATATTTTTTAAAACTACACGATAAATTGTATACTTGTAGTTAGATCACCCGATAGTCTCATAAGGTCGCAATCATCTATAAATGTGGAGATTGATGATCATGTGTATCGTGTAAAAATGGTAGAAGGTTTACACGGGCCAAAGAGAATAGTTATACCCAAGCATCGTGAACCCTCGAAGGAGTCTGACTATTCTATGTTTGATGAATGCAATAGTGTGTGAGAGAAGGATGAAGATGATAAAGAGGATGATGTCCTTGTCATGGATGTATATCCTTCCAAGACAAAGTTGGTGGTGGACAAGACGACTAAGGTGGCTACACAAGAGAATATCTTACAACTCAACATTAAGATCACTGTTGATGTAATAACTTGCCCTAATGATGCCCTAGAAGTTTGCAGCACCGCAGAGTTCAGGGAAAGGGTTACAAAAAGTGAGTCCCTTGAAACTACAAATCCGAGGAAAAGGAAGGGTAGGGAAAAGTCAACTTTGGCCTATGGGAAAATGGGAAAACAATGCCTTTTGGCCAATAGATTGTGTCAGATACCTTGGCCTCGTGGAAAGAATAAGAAAATGGAAAATTCAAAAAAAGTGACCATGTTATGGCTGAATCATCGGATCCTATCTCAACAAGCATGAATGGGCCTTTTTCAAAAGAGCCAACAGTTGTTAGGCCCATGAAAGTTAAGAAGAAAAAACTTATGGTGGATGTTTTAAGAAAAGTTGGGTGTCCTGTGAATAAAAAATTTGAGCCATTGAATTATTTCATTCTACCAATTGCCATATTTTCCTCTCAGTCTGCTACTTCTTTGAATGAATCCACAAATTTTTGGGGGGATCATTGTTATGTTGTGACTCTACCTCTACTGAAGGCATCAAACAAGGAAACATAGAGCCCTTAAAAAATTGGACCACGATGTTGCTTCCAAGGTGTGAATAGCTATCAAATCTCCTGGGATTGTTGGAGATGCTCGATGCTCAGGATGAGGTTTTTAAGGACATCATCAAGAAAACATGGAGGCTAGGGACCTCAAGGATGCCATTGTGAGGAAGGAGAGTGCAAGTACTCCTCCATGAATATTACATCCATCAACATTCAAGGGTGTGGAATGACCATTAAAAGGAAAAGAGTAAGGTATTTGGTAGAGAAAGGGAATGTTGATTTAATATTCATTCAGGAGACAAAAATTTAAAAAATGACTGAAGCAATTTTTAGAGACGCGTGGGGACCTATGGATGTGTCTTGCTCTGCTTTAGATTCCTGTGGATATTCAGAGGGATAATCATTATATGGAAATATGGAATCATTGATCCAATATTGAGTTTCAAAAGGAATGTCTTCATAGGAATACAAACCCTCCACAAAGGTAACATCATTTTCTTTTTGAACATCTACTCATCTTGCTAGAATAATGTGGACTGAGATTATTGAATGTAAGAATAAGCTAGAGGCTGGGGAATGGATTATTGGGGGTGATTTCAACTCATTCAAACATAGGTGTGAGAGGATAGGTAGTAGTCTTAGAAGCTATAGCCCTGAAATCGAAGACTTTGTTTCTTTCATTGACTTAATGGAAGTGGTTGACCTCCCAACTGTTGGGAATCAATTTACCTGGTTCAGTTCTGATGGGAAAGCTAAGAGTAGGCTTGGCCGTTTCCTTATGTCTGAAGGCATCATAGATACTTGGAAACTTGTTGCTCAAGAAATTGGGTGTAGGGATGTTTCTGACCACTGTCCCATATGGATCAAAGGAATCCATGTGAATTGGGGTCCCATTTCTTTTAGATCAATCAATTGTTAGTTTGATAATAAAAAATTCTTGACTTTTGTAGAAGAGCAGTAGTCTTCTTTCCATGTTTCATATATGAGGGCCTACACTTTGAAACAAAAATTCAAATTACTCAAGGTAAGTTTGAAGAAGTGGAACAAATAGTTTTTTGGCATCTTAGATCTCAAGATTGAGAGTGTTGTTGAGGAACTAAACAATCTTGACAGCATCATCAGTTCTTAGTCTTCCATTAATTTGATTGAAGCAAGGAAAGAAGCACAACACAATATTTGGAGAAAACTTCACCTAAAGGAAATTTTGTTAAAGCAAAAGTCTAAGCAAAAATGGATCAAGGAGGGTGATTTTAGTTCTAGATTTTTCCACAACACGATGACTTCTAGAAGAAAGAAGAATTGCATAGTTGCTTTAGTCACTGATGAGGGAAGAGTGGAGGATATGTCTATGATAAAAATTACTGCCAAAGTACATTTGCAACATAGATTCATAGATCCTAATGGACAAAGACCATTTTTGGATAGGGTGAATTTTAATACTTTGACAGAGGTTGACAGACTGTGTCTTGAAGAGGATTTTCTAGGGATGAGATCAGGGGAGTTATTTGGGAATGTGATGGGGACAGAAGCCCTGGACCAGATGGGTGTAACATCACATTCCTAAAGAATCATTGGGGCTTTTTGGGAGAGGAAATCATTGGTGCCAATCAAGAATTTCACCATACTGTCATCCTTCCTAAAGCCATTACAACCTCTTTCTTGACTCTCATTCCAAATATACACAATCCACAAAATATGGAGGATTTTAGACCAATTTTCCTAATTAGTAGCATATACAAAGTGGTGGCAAAAATTATGGCCAACAGAATCAAGAAAATCATTGGTATACTAGTCTCCAAATCCCAAACTGGACTCATACCAGGCAGGCTAATTCTTGATGGTGTTTTGGTCACTAATGAAATCATTAACTATGCTAAGAGGAGGAAAAAAGAATGTTTTTTATTCAAGGTAGATTTGCACAAGCATATGACAATGTTAGTTGGGATTTTTTGAGATACATGCTTGTTAGGATGGGTTTTTGAATGAAATGGTTAAGTTGGATGAAGGGTGGTATCTTCAAAAGCAGCATGTCCATTCTAATCAATGGAAGTCCAACTGAATATTTTGAGGTGTCCAGGGGATTAAGGCAAGGTGATCCACTATCACCATTTCTATTTGCAATTGTTGCTGAGGGTTTTGCTAGAATCATGAAGAATACTGTGGACACCAACTTCTTTAGAGAATTCAGGTTGGAAGATGGATGTGGTGGGCCTTCCTTCAGCCTCTTACGGTTTGTTGATGACACCATCATTATTGGTGATGGGTCTTGGAGCAATCTATAGGCCATTAAATCCATCTTAAGAGCATGTGAGATGGTTTATGGTTTAAGAATCAATATGAGAAAAAGCAAAGTGTATGGTATATGTTTGTCTCCTGAAATTTTGTTGGCAGCTTCCAACTTCCTCTTTTGTAGCATAGACAAAATTCCATTCAAATTTTTGGGATCAAGGTTGTAATCAATCCAATGAGAATTGAAGCTTGGAAACACATCATCTATGTTTTCAAGAGCAATCTATCTAGGTGGAAGGGAAAATTCTCGTCATTAGGTGGCAAAATTACCCAGAATTTGTCAAGAAGGAGATCGTTAGCATTCAAAGACATTTTCTATGGAAAGGATTAAAAGATGGAAATGGTGTTAATTGGATCAGTTGGAAAATGGTGTGCAAAAGCAAGACAAAAGGTGATATTGGTGTGAAGGAGATAAGAACTTTCAACCAAGCCTTGATGTGCAAATGGATATGGAGGTTTTTCAATGAAACTGATGTCATATGGAGTGGAATTGTGTCACATAGATATGGAGGAATCATACATAATTTGTGGTTGGACATTGACAAATGTCCATCATCTCTCCAAACCTTATGGTGGAGGGGTCTCATGTTCATTGGTAAAAACATGAAGGGAAGTATGGAGGAAAGAATTGGCATAAAACACTTGGTAAAATTTAGAATTGGAAATGGTGTTTCAACACCATTTTGAAATGGCATTTGGATTGGTCTCTTATCCTTGGAAGTCTTTTTTCCTGGTCTTTATTCATATGCAGCAAACAAATTGGCTATGGTAAGTGAACGTGGAGATTGGCTAGATGGTACTTGGCATTGGCAGATTGAGGAGACTGAAGCTTCTTTGGATCCAATTCTTGCTATTGATCTTCAGTATTTGATGATACTGGTAGAGGTCTCTCCTAACATGATGGAAAAGGATTAATTCATTTGGGTGGCGGTTTCACATCACACTTTTCTGTAAAACACTGTTACAACAGCCTGCAGGTGCTTGAGACACAACAAATCCATCATGAGTAGTTGACATCTATTTGAAGAAAAATATGGAAGATGAAAGTTCCCACAAAGATGAAAGCTTTTGTTGAAAGTTGTTGCACAATAGGGTGCCAACACGATAATAACTCTTTAGAAGAAATATCATATTGGATTCATCATTGGCCAAGTGTGCATTTTGCAATGAAGAGATTGAGTCAACAACCATTTGATGTTTAATTGTCCGGTCTCAACGTTGGTATGGAAATATGTGTGGATTGGATTGGTTGTCTACACCAATGCTAATTCATCATAGTACCGTGGATTCCAAGATTGTATTGGAGGCTTTCAAAGGGAAGGTTCGAAAATATTCTGAAGGTGTTTTGTAGATGATCACTTGTTGGTGCATTTAGAATAAGCAAAATGCCGTAATTTTCAAAGAAGAAAGTTGTCACGCAAGAGTTATTGAATTCAACATCAAATTGGTCTCTTGGCTTTGGGTTGGTGTTCTCAAAAAATCATACTCATGTAACTTCCTTGAATGGTGCATTGCACACATATTTGGTATTGGCTTATGGTGTCTCTTCACCATCTTTTGATTTTTCTTGTATGTTAATTTGAGTATCCATTATACTCTCATTAAATTAGCCTTTGAAATCATAACCATGTATTCATAACTTATCAATACATATCTCGATATATACATATAATCTTAGAATATTTAATCATAATATTACGACAAGAGTATAAAACTTTAATCCTTTCAGAATTATATAATATCATAGTTTGATGGTTTATATATATATATATATATATATATATATATATATATATATATATATATATATATATATATATATATATATATATATATATATATATATATATATATATATATATATATATATATATATATATATATATATATATATATATATATATATATATATATATATATATATATATATATATATATATATATATATATATATATATATATTAAGTTCTAATGAATGGATGGTAAAAAATATACTTTTCAATACTAATTAAAAATTATGAACAATTACAACAATGTAGATTGTCAGATCGATTTTCTAACTCAGAAAATTTTTTCTTTACAATATTTTTGTCTAATTGAAACAAAACATAAAAATAAAAAAGTTATGCATTTTTTAGAAAGAGGGTTAGAGAGAGATATTCTTAAAAATATATTTTTAAGTAATATAAATTTTTTTTATTAAAAATATTAAGAGGGATTATAAAAAATATTTTGCTTAATTTAAAAAATAGTTATATATATATATATATATATATATATATATATATATATATATATATATATATATATATATATATATATATATATATATATATATATATATATATATATATATATATATATATATATATATATATATATATATATATATATATATATATATATATATATATAATTTGTTTACAAAAATTATTTATTGGATTTAGAATAAATAATTTGACTTTTTAAAAATTTGTTGGATGAATTTGATCTAATTCATTAATTAATATTTATTTTAATGGATGGATTATATATTGAATGGAATGAATGAATTTATTTAATTGTCGTCCCTAAAAATAATATTCAGTGAATTATAAAATGAGATGGATAAATTGAATTTATCTATATAACCTCATGGATGTTAAATCTATGAATGGATTGAATCAAATCCGTTATATTAATTTTTTATTAATAAATAAATTAGATGAATAAATTATTTAATAGATATTATTTTATTGACACCCTTAAAAATATCTACTCAACAGCAACAAAAATGTATCATTTCTTGTACTAAAAAGTGTTGATTCTTTCAATTTTTTAACTATAAAATTATTCAAAGATTAAAACTATAAAATTCAAAAGAAAAAACACTTTGGGAGGACTATAACTCCAATCATGATTTAAGAAGATGAATGGAGTAACATAGCATTAACTTAACTCTTAAACAAATATAGGAAGAGTTTGGGTTATACAATATGAAAGAAAGGGGCAGATGGAAATAAGTTAAAAAAATATGATTAGGTTTGAATCGTTTGGTTATGGTGGGTAGTCAAAGGTCAAAGATGAAGAAATTAGAAGGAAAGTGGGGGGTCCAGGTTGTCTAACCTCTTTGTTGGGGAAAAAAAACAACTTTCGTGTGGATAACAATAACGAGTGCTTGTCATTCTTAACAAAGTGGTCCCATATGTGGACGTGGTTAGACAAGTGACACCTACATAATATTTCTTCAAAAATAAAATTTATTTTAAATCAACTTGTATGAATGAACAAATTTGTGAATTAAAGCTCGAATCTTGTCGGGACAATGATATTTTGATTAAGGTGTAATAGTTAAATAAGTTTATGCTAACATTAATTAAATACTAGTGATTGATTTTGTTCTTAAAGACACCCGTGCAAAGGTACGGATTTATTAGAAATATTACTTAAGGATTTAAAAAATATAGAATGTAATATATTTATTGATTAAATAAATATAATATATATTTAGTTAATATACTTGAAATTAAATAATGTAAATAATAAAAGAAATATTTTTTATCAAATCTTATACAACCTTTTGTTAAATATGAAATTTATTGTTTTAAAAATATTAGATTTAACTTAGAAACATCAAATTTGATTTAGAAATATTAGATTAGATATTTTGAGACTTTTATAAGTTGGGTTTTACCTTGGGGTGTAAACTAACTTAAATTTATAAATAGGAAGAAACTCTTATTTTGTAAATATTTCATCTCATCTCATCATATTTTGTAATTCACAGTTTGCAGTTGCAAATGAAATAACAGAATTTTCACAGTTTATGGGCAGAGAGTTTTCTGCGGAAAATTGTTTATCTTTTTCTTCAACGTTTACTTTCTTTCTTTCTAAACTTTTCTTTCATTGTCATTACGTGAGTTGAAACAATCTTAAGATCGAGATTGATTGAGTGAAATTCTCCATAGGTTATGGTTGAATTTCCAACATATGGTATCTAGAGCTCCGGTTACGATTCAAGGAAGGAAAATCATGATGGCGATGAATCATCCAAATGGTCACTTTTCAGCAAACCTTCAAATTCTCAAGAAAAATAATTATGAGAATTGGTGCAAGCAGATTAAGGTGGTTTTTTGTTATCAAGATCTTTGGGATCTTGTGAAGGGAGGAGTAACACCGTTTGCAGAAAACGCGACGAATCAAGAAAAGGCTGCATTCAAAGAATTGAAGAAGAAAGATTATAAACCTCTCTTTATAATCCATCAATGTGTAGATCCAAATAATTTTGAAAAGGTTAGTGATGTAGAATTAGCGAAGGAAGCGTGTGAGATTCTTGAAAAGTCGTTTGGAGGCGCTGAAAAGGTGAAAGATGTAAGGTTACAAACTCACAAGAAAACCAATGAATTGCTTCAGATGGAAGAAAGTGAAAGTATAGTAGATTTCTTTACTAGAGTTACAAAGCTGGCGAATAAAATCAAGGTATGTGGAGAAGTGTTGACATCAAGATCAGTTGTTGCAAAGATCTTGAGGTCGTTGGCTCGAAAGTTCGACCATGTGGTAGTAGCCATAAAAGAGTCGAAATACTTGTCAACATTGACGAAGGAAGAGCTTCAAGGGACGCTTGAGTCTCATGAACAAAGGATGGCTGAGAGAGCTACAGGGAAGTCAAAAAGTGATATGGCTTTGCAAGCGCATTCAATAAAGGAAATGAAAGGCAAAGGAAGCTGGAATGGCAATAAAGGTAGATAAGGCTACAACAATTCGATTGGTCGAAATCAGCAGGAAGGAAACTGGTCGAATCAAAGAAAATCCTAGAACCAAGGCAACCAAAGAACTGGTGGTGTAGGTATTGGAAGAGGTGGTAGACGAAAGCTTGACAAAAGTCACATTCATTATTTCAATTGTCAGATGTATGGTCACTATTTTAGTGAATGCCGAGAAAAGAAGAAGAATCAAGAAACTGATGCAAAGATGGCAAAGCATGAAAAAGAAGAGATGTTGCTAATGGTCACAA